TTTTTTAAATTTAATTGGGAAAATAACTCTTGAGGTAATTAACTTTTGCGTTTGTACTCATTTGGTCCTTTTTTTTGTATTCAATATACCATCGAACTTGTTGTTTGTGTTCACCATAACCCTTTTGACCGGCTTTTGACCTGCAAAAGCTGGTCAAAGGGGTTATGGTGAACACAAACAACAAGTTCGATGATATATTGAGTACAAAAAAAAGGAAAGCGACCAAATGAGAACAAACTCAACAGTTGGTTACCCTCCTTAGTCAATATGTACAATATCATGCTGCTTTTGCAGATACATCACCATAATATACCTTGAGGTAAACGTTTGTGCTGATAAATATATCTCTCATACACAATCATATCCTTTTGAAGAGAGCTGTTGACAGCTAACCACAGTAAGCATAACATAGGCCATGTTTTAACGAAGTTACCCCTCTAAAACGCTCTTCATATACGTTATAGTCAAAGAAGGTTGTAGTCTTTGATAATTTTGCAACTTTAATTTCATTTAATTTTTCGAGGAAAATAACTCAGGAAGGTAACCAACTGCTGAGTTTGTTCTCATTTGGTCCCTTTCCTTTTTTTTGTACTCAATATACCATCGAACTTGTTGTTTATGTTCACCATAACTCTTTGACCGGCTATCACAGGTCAAAAATCGGTCAGAAGGGTTATGGTGAACACAAACAACAAGTTCAATGATATATTGAATTAAAAAAAAAGGACCAAATGAGTATAAATACAAAAGTAATTACCCTCAAGAATCATTTTCCCAATTTAATTTCATGCTCTCGTACTAATAAGTAATAAGTCCTTGTGGTCCCATTTCTCAAATTCGGGTGGTTTTCATTTTGCTGAATGGAAAGCTTGATGGCTCATGTAACACGTTTGCTATTGTTCTTTTCTTTGTGTTTGTCTGGTAAGAATGTGACAATTTATAAGTTTTATTAATAAAATGTAACGTTTTTCATTATTATCTTCATTTTGAAATACAAATACATATGTACATTGTCCAAAATACGTAATTCCATTCTAAAGGAGGTCTTTAACTTAAAATTGTAACTTGGAAAAATAATAAAAAGTATCTCATTCAGTTTCTTTTCACGAACCTTCCCTGCAAATTGAAACGATAAAACAACAGAATGATATTAAAACGAGACTTAAACTATTTAACAAGAATAGAAAATACATTATAGAAAGACACGTATATTACCTTAATACGAGGGCGTTTCTCAGCATTCAACTTTCTTACTTCATAACGAATGGTTTTAGCAAATAAACGGTTGCGTCGTTTCTCTTTGTATCTTTGGACACTAGCTTCTCTATGTTGAATCATTGCACTGGACCCCACCGCTTGTAATGCATCATCTCCTCTGCCAATGTCTGTATTTTCAATGTGTGTCATTTCGGGAACTGTCCATGACCCTCCATTGCCACCATTGTCTCGTTCGTCATGTGTGATGCCCTATACATAAACATAACAATAATAAGAAACTTAATATTACATGCATTCATTATTAAGAATTAGACATGGTAACACATTAATTTTACAAGTTTATGTGGTTGAATGTGCCCATAATGTCTTTGGAGCTTGTATCTTACAACTTTACAAAGTAACATGGACAAAAGTAATGTCTAAATAACTCTATCTAATCATGACTTTAGAGGTCATGTTATTAGAGATTAGGTTAAAAGCAACAAAATAGCAACATATTTAAATTGTTTTGTTTACTATAAAATAATATTTTTACTTTATCGTCGTAAAAGATTGTGCATTGAAAACTCCATCTAATTTGGGGGTTGGTGGATGAGATAACATGATTCGGACATAACCCGTTGTGTAAGAATATGTATACATCATCTTTTTTTCATTATTAACATATTTAATGCCACTTATAAATAATTTGTTTTTATTTTAAATCAATGAAGCTTGTATTCATAAAAAAAGTTATTAGTAGAAGATATTATATTAAAAAAAAAAATCGATTCTTTGCAATCTGAAACTGTTGTATGTGGACAGCGTTAGAATTATATCATTACAAATTCAAAATGTGCGCGTCAAAAACAACCTTAATATAATTAAAAGGTTGGTGAGTTGACCTAAGAACCTTTCTACCTACCCAAACACCACGCATTTATTATACATGTTAATATACATGTTAAGTAAATCAAAATAAAAATGCGATTAAGACTTGTTTAAGATCAACCCAAACTTGTTTTATCTAGATGTCATATTTTATGTTGTGTTTTGTATAATATTGATAGTTGCCACTCTCAATATATAATCTTAAAAAAATAAAGAAGATAAGCCATATATATACATTGCATTGAAAAAAAAGGATAAAACTATACTAGTGTCCTATGTTAACCACCACAATAATTTTTCAAACTTTTGGGGTGTATTGTCGACATATTGAAAAGTGGAGGAGCTTAACTTGAACAAACTTAATTCCACTAGGGACTTGTACCGTACAACTTTACAGAGCAATAAAGTGAAAAACAGTGGTGGGGTCACAAGTCATCAATTGACACACATGTTAAAATCAACCCATTTCCAGATATCAAATTCCTAAAAGCACAGCTTTTATATTGCAACTTGTACAATAGGCAACACGATATGTACATTAGGAAGGGTTTACACTTTACACTTTACGTAAATTGCATTTGGAAATTGCACAAGCCTATCGTTTCATGTAAGCATGTAATCAGATCTTTGACTGGTTAAGTCCAAAATATTCAAGATTCTCAAATCACCGATTCACCGACAACCCTTATTGCTTAAAATTTGTAACTTCAATTTTGTTACACAAAAATTCTTTAACTTTAATTATGTTAAAATTAATAACATTATATATATTCTACTGATCTTAGTGTCAAATCAACTGTCACTATTTTCTAGACTGAACGATGAAATACTAGCATGATCGAAATAATATTCCACAATAATTCATATGCTGTACGAAAATGACATAAACTGACCATAATTATTGCGAACATATATTTTGTCGACTAAAAATATAGAAAAAAACTAAATGTTTGATCTTTTAATTATTTAATATAACATGCAATCTAATCATGAGTCTTCTAAGTTGTATAACTCACACACAAATGATTACTTGCATGTATGCAATTATACATGCATGTATGATTGTATGTATATGTATGTATATGTATATGTATGAAATGAAAAGGGAAGAATAGAACTCACATTAAGAGAGGTGGAAGATGGAAAAAAGAAGTCGTCATCTTGAAGATCGGGTACAGTTTGCGGTTGTGGAGTATCCGGATCCGAATTCTTATGAATATAAAGTGGACCTTTGTTGACCCAAGAATCCATAACTTTACCATAATCAAGCTTCAACACTAATTTACTCCGATGATGATTATTATGATTACATGATGTTGATGATGAAGACGACGATGACATCCCTCTAATCACCTTCTTCTTCTCCACAACCTCCGAATAACAAACCCACTTCTCATGACGATCCCTCTCGGTTTTATTCCTCCTCATCGCCGTCCGTACAAGCTCCACCTCCTCGTCGGCGTAGTTAACCGAAGAAGGAGATGGGTTGTTGGTGTTTTCTTCATCTTCGTCGTCGGAGCACAGGATTCCGGTGAGGGTGGTGGCAGCTCCGTCGTCATCACAAGACGAGAATAGACAGGCCATGTTATGTTCTTCGTCTAGTTTATCTTGTTCGACTAGGTTTTCGGGGTGCAGTGGGAAAAGATTGATGAGTTGTTTATTGTCATGGTCGTGGGTGGTGGTGGTGGTGGTGGTGGGCATTGGTGGTGGAGTGGTGGTGATAAGCTGAAGACGGAGGCTTAAGTATTTGGGTTTACGGCGTTTAGTTCTGGTTTTACGTGAAGAAGGTTTGGAGGCTTTGGTGATCATAGTAGAGGGGTTGAAAAAGGTGAAAGGGGAAGGGGGTGGGGGTGGGGGTAGGGTGAGCTTTTGTAGTCAGCAGTGTGGTTTATATGAGAAGATTGAAGAAGAGCGACGTGGGGTGATTTGATTGGAGGGGGTTTGGATATTTCGGAGATTTCGTTTGGATGCATAGATAAGAGTAGATGGGGGGTGGGTTGGCTCACATACCCCATGGCTTTATGCTACTACGTACCTTTTGAGCTCTTTTCATGACTTGCACGTGATGACACAATACTTTTCATTTATTACGTACATGTTCAAATTAATTGGACTGTATTTGGTTTGTAAGTTTGATGGAATCCACGAAATTAGGTATCAAATTCTTACCTTAAGGTTTATTAGATTGTAGTATTAGAGTGAGAACAATTGTGTCCGATAGAATGGAAAACTTGATCTTCGATGTCGTTAACAAAGCACCAATATTTATACATACAACAAGATTTTGGAAAAGGGAAAGTATTCCATAAACTAGCCTAACAATAACTATAAGATAAATACAAAATACATAAAGATATGTGTAATAGTCCCTCTAGTTGATGTAGTTGGAGGTGGCCGGATGCACCTATCTAGGAAGTCATCAATCAAGATCTGTGGTAGGTGGTGAATATGCCATCGACATTAAGTGAGAAATACGTTATATCATTGCGATCGATGTTTGTATATAAAAAGGCATAGATGGTATGCTTGAAACCGATGGTGCTATTAACATTAACAAAATGTTGTTACCAAACATGAGGCATGATCGGGATGAGAAGCATCATGAAAACCGATTGGTTCGTGAAATATACAATAAATTGAAAGAGATTGTATTAAAAAAAGTTTTCAACATCAAATGTATGTATTGGCCATAACATGGGAGATAACAAGGCTCATAATGGTAAATATGATAGCCGGTTTTACAATTGTGCTAAAAGTTTCATGACAATCAATTTCGATCTATTGACAATTTCCATTACCAACAAGGTGTGTTTTATAACCCTTGAACGAACCATTTGATTTTAATTTGTGCTTAAAATTTACATCGATCTTCTGTTAGGACATTTTTTTCAGCATCAACATTTATTTTATACTTTCAACCCTTATTTTGACGATGATAAATAAGGTTACAATGAAGAGTCAAAACGTAAAATTAGTACATATTTCTTTATTGTTTTCGGAATAGTTTAAATAACCTCAATCATAGTAACAAGTAGATGGATATGATCAAAAATACAAACGCAAAGTAAATATATCCAACACTTTTACTCCTTTGTTGGACCATATAATAACCAAGTTTTAGAATACTCAAAACACCAAAGTTGTGTGTAATTCCGTCTTCTCTCCGGAAAATCTTGAATCGGCTAAATCAAGTTAAGATGTAAAAGATATCATCAAAACATGAAGATGTGGTTAAGTTGTCCGACAACATTATTATATCTATAGTTGCTCGCTTTTATACAATGCGCTCATGTTTCAACTTGTCTTTGTTTCTTCATTTATCCCCACCAATTTTATTCATATGTGGGTTTCATAAACCCACTGTTTTCAATTCTTCGACTTTCCAACTCGATCTTTGCCATGTAAGCCTATGAACTTTTCTACGGTTGTCTAGCGTTTTGCCACTTCTTAGTTTTTATAGAATGTCATAGTTTTATTAAAACATGATAAAATAACTAGCAACACTCTAAGTCTTGTTATCAAAACACTAATGAGGAGTTAAGTTGTTCAACAATATCTTTTTATCATTATTTCAGTTCTATTTTCATTTTTTTTGCATCAAAGATTCTATTTAAACTGTAATTTAATATTTTCAAGCGTATTATGTATCTTATATTCAAAACATATAAGATTTTAATCAAACATTTTAAGAAAATGGTCTAAAATATATGTATAAATATGACAATATCAAAATATCTCACTTATATTTTGTTTTTCCTTAAGCAAACTAGATTGTTATTATACTATATCAAAACTTTGCTCACCAACACCACATAGAATAACCCAGTTTGATTTCACGAATTCTATCTCACCTCAATACATATATTTGTGTCTAGAGTTTAATTACTTCCCGGCTATAAATACTCGCAATCCTCCTAAATGTTCCCCACTTATTTTGAACAATATTCATTTATGCATTCTTCCTAATACATCATCGCACACAATACTAGCAAACTTATAACAAAGTGGTTCAACAAAACCTTTTAATTCATATCAAATTATCACACACAATACTAGCAAACTTAGTTTTAACATAACAAAAATTTTAAATTTTGTAGATTTTTCTAATTTAGACCATTTTCAAGTCTCTATTTTTATTTATTTGTTTATCTATTACTTTTATATTTTATTTCAATCTAACATGCTCTTTACCTTTTTCAATTTCCTATCCCACACTTAAATTATACAATGTCTTCATTAAATAAAAACAATTAAAATTTTATAAAATAAAATATAGAGAAAAGGAACAAACTTCCCTTGTAATGTAGTCGCGAGATCAGATGTCGTGGATTGCTTGTTGATACTAAGCTTGAATTTGTCTACTACAACACTCCAAAATCTGAACATCATTGCTAAAAACAGTGTACTCTTGGCAAAAGAGAGAGAGAGAGAGAGAGAGAGAGAGAGAGAGAGAGAGAGAGAGAGAGAGGCTGACAACTAAACTGCAACGCTAAAAAATAATCTGAATGAGGTGTTGCCACATGGTGGTAAGTAGTGGACCATGACGTGGTCTTTTGAAGAAACTGAAGACTAACTACGTAAAATGATTCTTCGCAACACATAGTGAGAACTGGCGTGAAGCGGTCTTCTGAGAATTAAACTTGTGATTTATAATATCGTCAAAACACGCAAATAGGATTGTTGTGTTCTAGTATTCAAATATCAGGAAAATAAGTTGCGATATAATGGTAAGTTGCTAAAAATAATCGAGCAATCAAAGGTGATCAGGCTCTCGACTAGTCCCTCGTATCAATTTCCTTCATATGTAGCATTGATAGTTAAGTAGACTCCTTGGTTTCGCTATATGTAAAATGTGTACCCCACACTTATTTGTTTGTCATGCCTCTTGCCTTATTTTTCGTCTTATTTTCCAAAATACATCAAAACTAGAAAAACACATTAAAGTAGTATCCGATAATCAAGACAGAAAACTAATTCAATCACTAAAAATAAAAACTAAAAACTAAAAATTACAAATAAGACCAAAAATAAAAATATGAACCAAATGTCAAGTTGTCTCCTACAAAGCGTTTCTTTTTGTGGAGTCATAATTTAGACTATTTCCTATTCTATATTGCATCGGTTGGAGGTGGAATCTCATTGTTCAATTTCAACTCAACCATTATTTATTTATATGCTTCAACTATTCTTTTGTAGGCCTTCTTTGAATTTTTTTTATACCTTTTTCAAGTTCTTGCATTCTCTTTTCTTTTGATTTGTTCTCGTTTCTATTTTATCGTTATTTTTAACTTCAATCTTGCCTTTCTTTGTAGCACCTTTCTTATTTGCATTCCTGAATGATTTTTCAACTTTTTCCGCACCATGTATAGTAACTTTCCCATTATCATCCAAACTTGCATCCGAACTCCCAAATTTTTGGAAATCTTTTGGCTCTACAGTTTCGGTTAAAAGTCGGAAATTTTTTGGGGTCGGAAATACAGTAACTAGAATCTGAAAATTCTCAAATAGGTTCGCCACATCATGGTTATTAATTTCACCACGTCGTGGTGGACTATCTGGTCTCGACTCAAAACACAAAGGCACGTGAGGCCACGACGTGGTCTCATTTTCACCACGTTATGGGGTGCACTATTCAACACTCATTTCTCTTCCTTCCTCCATTGGCTTTTCTATTTCCAAAGGCTCATCAAGTACCTTATCGCTTTTGTTTTCTTTTTTAATTTCACCTCGTCGACGGTCGATTATAAGGACTTTGTTTTATCAACTCCAAAAGTTATCGATTCGGACCTCACTCTTAATGTTAACTTAAAATCATGAATATTTACGAGGGATCAAGTGTTATTAAGGAATCGGCTCTCAAGAATGATGGAAATATCACCCTCTTCTAACATATTGAGGTCAATAAAGTCGACGAGAGAAAACGAATTTACCAACTTTAATAAGTAAGTCTTCTATTATGCCTCATGGATACGTAACAGATCAGTTGGCCATACGGATAACTATTCTTTTAGGGTTCAACTCTTGAAGATCGAGTTTCTTGTAAAATAAGCATGGCATCAAATTTATGCTAGCTCCATAATCGGCTAGTGTGTTCCTCTTTGTTGAATTTCCAAACTCGCGAGGATACCTAGATCTTTCATCTTTGTTACTATGGTTGAACATTGTTTGTTAAGAATAACTTCTAAAGCGTCGTCTAGTTTCTTTTGATTGCTAAGGAAATCCTTGAAAATTTTCATATACTTCAACATTTGAGCAATTGCATCAAAAAATGGCATGTTACTAGATAGTCATTTTACTTGCTCCATGAACTTTTTCTAATTCTTCCTCCAAAAGATTTTGCTTGGCTTGACATGGGTAAGGAAGAGATGGCTGATACACTCTAACAAACGAGCGATCATAATTCTACTTTAGGTCCCACAACATGGCATTGTCGCCACCATGTCGTGGTTCCTAGGCATATCACAATTCTTTTCTCTTCTAATTTTCCAAGCAGTTAATCGGATTGCTTTTCGTTTGGTTCAACACTACAACAAAAATGACTTGCGGCCATACTTTTTAAGTCCTAAAAAATGTGGTTGTATCCTACCGTCACACTTTTTTTTTCTTTGTCAAAAGTGTGACCATATGTCGTGACACCATATGTGTCTTACGGCCACATTGAAATTCATTATTTTAGCATGGCTATATTCTGTATTTTAGTTGCATATAACGTGAGACGAGTTGTTGTTAAGCATGGTTATGTTATATTTGATGTGGCTATTATTTACCATTTAGTCATATTAATTTATGTTATATCGTGATGTATGATATCATTAAATCACATAAAGAAAACTTTTAAAGAAAATAGTGTGGCCACTCGTTAGGTATTAGTAATACATAATTGTGAAAAGCATAGTTAAATATTACTTATAGCAACAATTGTTTTCTAAATGATGTGGTCATTTTGTACCATTTAGTGATATTTATTTATGGTAAAGCGTGACATATAAAACCATTTAGTCACATGAAGAAATCACATAATGAAAAAAATGTGACCATTGTTTGCTTTTCGTTATACATA